ATTCGAAACCCTGAAAGGTGAATATCCTTCCATGATTCCCGAGTTAATAGTTCACCCGCCAAAATTTTCACGGGGCCGTATGTGTTATCCGCGGATACGGGAAGGCTGAATTTGAATGGGCAAGGTTGAGCGAGCGTGGGCAGAGGGTCATTACCCTAAAATTTTAGCCTCCTAGACTCCGTGGTTCCCGAGTTAATAATTTACCCCAAAAAAACTTTCACTGGACCGCATGTGTTACACGCGGGTACGGGAACGCTGAATTTGGATGGGCAAGGTTGAGCGTGGGCAGGGGGTCATTGCCCCAATATTTCAACTTCCTAGACCCCGTGGTTCCTGAGTTAATAATTTACCCGTGAAAAAATTTCACGGGGCCGTACGTGTTACTCGCGGGTATGGGAAGACTGAATTTGAATGGGCAAGGTTGAGCGTGGGCAGGGGATCATTACCCTAAAGTTTCAGCCTCTTAGACTCCGTGGGTCTCGAGATATGAACTTACCCGTGAAAAACTTTCACAGGGCCGTACGAGTTACCCGCGGGTAAAAGAAGGCTGCATTTAAGTTTGCCGCGGCATCCGTTGGCGGGGAACACTATACCAAAATTTCAGCCGCCTAGCTTTTGTGGTTCCCGAGTTGAAAGTGCAGGACAAAATGTGGGACACACACACAAACAAACACACGCACAGACAACCCCGTGATAATATGCGTTTTGTAACGCTGTTACATAGCACAAAACGCATAAAAACCCCCTGAACCCAATCAAACAACTTGCATCCACACGGCCAAATCACATCTCCCACGTTATGTCATTAGACAGGAAGATATTCCGAGGCTAGAATGAACCTCATTCTCATCTCCAGACTCCCTCCGGGGAAAGATGAAACTCAACACAACTATAGGTGAATCCAAAGGTGGAAGAGGGGGTGAGAGAGGGAGGGGGGATGAAGGGTTTTCTTCCCCTTCCCTTGCGGCACAGGCACCAGTGCTGCAAAAACCTGGGTCTATTCATAAATAAAACTAAAACAACTTCAAGCAGCAGTATTGCAACTCTGTGCCTAGTTATTTTTGCATAGTTCCAAGGTGAGAGAGGACTCTCCTCCCCATCCTCCTCGTGCCCCCCCCCCTCCAGGAGTCTGCCCTGGACCCGCCTATGATTAGCCCTCACACGTG